TGCATTCCTTCTCCACATCTTAAGCAATGATCGTCTAATGCTTTTTGCCGTAATAGCAATGACAGACAGTTAACACTTTTTATTCTCGTGAATGTATATTAGTATCATTTGAATTATACNCTCTCTCTCTCTCTCTCTCTCTCTCTCTCTCTCTCAAACACAAAACTCTTCTCTATTTTATTAAACATTTATTATTCATTCATTGAATACAATCCACAGTTCACTTGTATTACAATAACAGTATTAAACAGCACTGTATTTAAGAAACAATATGTTTAACAAACAAAACAAAAATTTTATTTTATTTTGTTTCTCATTAAACTTTGACAAAAAATCATATTATACTACAATTTTTTACGCAACTTATATACAATTCAATTATTTGCATAATTTATATTATATGTGAAACAAATAGTGGGAAAAAGATTGAAAAGACTCACCAAAAGTATATAAAGTGCTGAAATAGAGTATAAGTTTGAAGTGAAAGCATAAGAATTCTTTACTCATTATTAATTACACGCAAAACACAATTTTTCACAAAGGCATACATGCGTGGAATTCAATGGACATCTCTATACGAAACGCACCAAATTTTAATAGATTTAAAACAAATTTAATGAACTTTTTTAAACAATAATTTTTATATTTTTAATTTTAATGAGTGCTTTGTAATGAACATCATATTTTCAGATGAATACTTAACACTTTAAATAAACTGATTGATTGATTGAAATGTAAAAATCATTGTTTGTGGTACTATTTGAAATGAGGGTCCAATTTATAGATCTCGTTCAATATTACTGTTTGAAGTTTTGTTTCACAATTTATACATTCTTCCAATTCATACCACGGAATGACCACTACTTTAAAGCCCAGTCTCTCCAGTAGTCGGATCTTACACTCTGTCGGGCCATTCATGTGTTTGATATGTTTGCCGACCACTACATAGTCGTTGATATCCAACACATTAATAACAATACATTCGTTAAACATATTGGGTTTGAGTACTGTTTCGGGAGTTAACGAAAAGTTTCGGTGATTTTCACTCCAAATGACAATACATTGATCGAAATTATAGGGAAGAATATGAGATAATCGGACTCTTTGGCCAAACAGTGTCTTCAAAGACATGACAACAGTTGACCACAATTTCTCTTTCTTTAAGATATGATTGATATCCCGTCTCTGGTTTGTGAGAATCCATCGGTGATAGCGATAACTCACTGCCGGCTCCAGAAGAATGTCCGCAAACTCGTCGTGTCTCTCGATTGATAGCGCGGTGTTTACAGTCAGCACTTGTGGTCGACATTCATATTTCGATTTCTCAATTTGGGTGAAATATTTGGGTTCAAAACAGAGTCTAAGCAATGATTTGGGATAAAACCCCAAAACTGCCAAATATTGGAGAAAATATATTAAATTGTGCGGAAATTTGTGTAATAGAAAGTGATTAGCATTTGTGTACACATTATCGCAAATACTTTGCAATTTCTTGGGATCTAATTTGTGATTAAAATACGACAAACACATGAATATACGCGCCATATCTTTGACCCGAAAGTCGGTTGTATTGGCATAAAGTGTGTCAAATGTGTGGGACATTAGCTGTTCGTCGTATACGCGGACTGTATAGACAAGAATAACCAAATGAGTTAAAGTCATGGCATTATTAGTGGACAACTGTTTCATTCGGTTAACGTATTGACGGATTTGTGGCTCAAATCTGCAGTAATCGTGTGATAGGGATTGTCGGATGCATTTCGTGACCGCATTTCGCGCTATACTATGCGTGTCGTCGGAGACATCGGTAATCGCTTTACTGATGACTGCATTCAACAGTTTGTCCGTTAGTTTGGTTTGCGTTTTGAAACAAGTGTTACAAAAGACCGCCATTTCATCCCAAGTCATGTCATTTATCATTGTTTCCATTCGTCGTAATATATGTTTAGCTAACTTTGGATCAACTTCTCGACGAAGACTGGCGTAAAACATGAGATGAAGACACAAACTCTTATTCAACTCAAATTGTGGTGAATAAAAGCGATTCAGTAATGCTTTTTTGTGTTGACAAATGTTTGCGACTTTTAGCCGATAAAACAGATTCCCAAACAATAAGTATTTCTCCACATCTTTATTATCCCTCAACTCATCCCAAAACAGCCTTCTGTTTGTCAACTCGTCGTCCACTTTAGACCAAACGCTGAGAAACAATGGCTCAAATGAGTCATAGATATCAACGCGTGACCATTTGGTCATTGACTCCAATACAGACATCAATTGTTTTAAATCCAATTCTGTTATAACTTTAACCAAACTTTTAATTTCAGTCTCAAATTCTCGGAACCTCTCCGGAGGAATGGCCACAAATTTGGACACAATATCATTAATGGTTGTGTCTTCAGTGTTGAGCGGTTGTCGCCAATTGATCCCATTTGTGTAGATTGGATGGAGAGCTTGAAGCGTATCAAAAGTCCACTGAGAGTTATTATCAGTGAATACCACTCTTCGGCCACTGTTTGGGATCAGATTGTCATCACTGGACGGCACTGTCGTTTGGGGCAACTTCTTGCGCAAAAGGCATCGCATCCAACACCACATCCATCGGCTCTTCGGCACGGGTTGGCCGCCGGCGACCACCGATGGCCTCTTCGCGCGACTAATTGTAGTCAAGCAATGGGTGATTGTTTGCATTGGTTTACCACTAATTAGTCTCGCATTTAATGGCAAACTCTTCGGCAATTGTCTCAACGAAAGCATTGTTTGCTTTGTTTTGATAACACTATTAATTGTGACACAAATTATTTGATTTGATTGCGATTTAAATGTTTCACAAAACATATCATTCATACGTTTTTTAGCAGTAATACCCGTTGGCCCACAATCACTGATTACAAGTGCGGCACTGAATGACTGAATGAATGCCGGAATCGGAAAACAAAGTGTTTAATACTTGCCGTCAATTGCAATGAATTTCTGATGCAATTCTCAAAACTCATTTCAAAGGCAAAAGCATATGAATACACGAGAAACTCACCAACTTTTGCCATATTATTCTATGCAAAGTAAGAGATAGCGATAACTTAAAATTTACTCGATCAATTATAACAAATTATATACAAAAATGTTTATCATAAAATATAAATCAATACGTGTTTCAGGATTTTCTGAATAAATAAATTTTCTATGAGTATAATGCATATAATTGGTAAAATTACAATATATTAATTTCTTTGCCATTTGGAAATTATAAGTTCAAATTTAACAATATTGATATCAAAGTGACCGAAAAAGCATTTTTAACCACAATTCAGTATGAATAATGTGGTTTATAGGATCATTCGGCTCCCCCCGTCCCCCCACCCTATGGGATTTAACATGGGATTAGAGCTTAAGTCTATGGCTATACTTTAACATGAGTAATGCTAAGTCTATGACATAGGGATAACATGGGCAATGCTAATCCTATGGGCAATGCTAACTCAATGGGACTAATGCTAAGTCTATGGACTCTTATTAAATGTGTAGATACTGCTAATCTATTCACAAATACCCGAATTGTGTTTAACGTATAGCATCGCTGTGTGTGAGTTGTTTCAATTATTCAATATTATCGCAATGTTATGTCTTTTGATTAGAAAAGACATTTTAATGACAATTATTTTGTAGGCCTGCGTTAGGCGGTTGCACAAGCTCAAAAATGTACCAGACATTTAAGCATGCTATTCGATAAACCACATCACACAGGGTTTCGGTATATAATTTCACCGAAATTCTGTGTCGAATTTTCGAGTTATTCGACTTTAAAAATGAAAAATTAAAGTTTCGATTTATTTAAAATTCCTGAGTTAATTTTGATAAATATATGAATATAAACAGAATAATAAATATTATATACCAAAATTATATAAATTTACCGAAACCCTGTGTGATGTGGTTTATCGAATAGCATGCTTAAATGTCTGGTACCTGTTTGCGCTTGTGCAACCGTAATACCACTGTAGGGTCGCCAATTGTTTGCTTTGTTTTGATTACGATTTAAATGTTTCTCAAAACATACCACTGGTAGCGTAAATAAAAAGTAGCGAAAATGTGATTTTTCTTCGCGCAGAAATTACGTAATGAAATCGCATATATCTGTTCAATAAGTTTATTCTACAAAAAACGTGACAATTTCTGGACGTTACTATTCGGCGAAGAAAAATCACATTTTCGCTACTTTTTATTTACGCTACCAGTGGTATATCAACACATGTTTTAAGTGATGTCTACCGTTTGTAACGTTTAAGAGAAAGAGTGGTTAATAAAATAAAGCAATTGTTGTTTACAGTCTAATCACGTTTCTAATCACAACTTAAATTCAATGATAACAATAAATGTAATACAGAATTACAGAATATGTACGTAATTACAGAATTGACACGAATCGAAACATGATCAGTAATTTTTATGACGTAATTTAAATTACATACATCATTTAGTGTGAAATACAATTATTGTTAACTTCAATTCAACATCGAATTTGATGTCTATTGGATTCATTACTTTTAAACATTACTTTTAAAGAGTCTCAAAATATGAGCTATAAGTCTATATCTAAACTGTAAGATAGGTTTGTATTGTAAATAAATGAGTAAATTATCAGGGTAAACTGTAAGTTATCCTATAATTAATCGAATTGGATTTAATCCGTTGTTTAAATTTATAGTTTTTTAATATTAAATGGTAATAATAAGCTCTAAAAATAGTTTCTTAATTTTTTAACTTACTTTTTCTCCACTCTTTATATTTAAAATTTATTAAAATAAGAATTCAATTAAAATTCAATACAATTTCGAATATCGTTGTAATTATTATTTTATTTTCAATAAATATTTAAAATATAATTAAGTTTTAAAATTTTATTTATAAAATATTTTGATTTTAAGTTAAAATTAATTTATGTAATAATAATAACAAATTTGTTTTAATATGTTTTTGATTTTTTATAAAGAATTAATGATTTTAATTATTCACAGAATTCATAACAAATGAAATGATGTTTTAGCTGTCATTAGTTGTAATGAATATCTTAAGACGGGTTAGTCTTTGTCTTCAGTATTGGCGGCCATATATCCCGGCTTTTTTCGTTTGAAGAAACCAACCTTTGGGTCAAAACAAATGCATTCATGTATTGTTGCAATAGTTTGTAAACCAATAAAACAGCCAAACCTTATAGAGGATGAGTATGAGAAGAGCTAATAAAATGAGGCCCAAGAGGACGGCTATGATAAGCCACCACCAGCTCACCTCTCGGGGCAACAGTAATGTCACGTCTGGTATGGCTTTGGTCTCCACCTTAACATACATTTCATTATTTTTTGCAAAACAAATAATTATAGAAATCTTACGGAAAAGAAGTCGTTGTGTCTGTTCTGCTGTATATTAAGAGTCGGGTCCAGACGTATCTCAGCGTTGGATCGAATGACCACATAATTCACACCAAACGCATAGTCTTCTACAAGAGTGGCATTCCATAGACGAGAAGCTATTCTTATGACCTGAAGATTCAATCATTTCATTAATTGATTGCCATCTCATCTAAACTTATTTCAAATAACTTATTTGGCATTCATTTTAAATTTTAAAACGTTTTCTACATTTTATATTACAACAAAACAAGGTTTACAGAGCGATGCTATACGTTAACCACATTTCGGGTGATGCTTAAATAATAGATCAGCATTACCCATAGACTTAACATTAATACATAAAATTAGCATTGCCATAGGATTAGCATTAGTCCCATATAGTTAACATTTGCCATAGACCTAGCATTGCCTTAGACTTAATATTATTCATAGACTATGAATCATAGTCCCATAGACGATTTAAAATTATCTCATAGGGTTAACATGGCCATAGATTTAACATTAGCCCCATGTTAAAGTATAGCCCCAGATTTAATGTTAAATCTCATAGGTGGAGGGGGCCGAACGATCCTATAAACCACTTTCTTCTTATATGAATTGTAGTTAAAATTCTATAGTTTAATTCCATATTAAATATCTATAAAGACCTTGTTAATTTTAAATTACAGTAAAAGCAAATATTATAAGATTTTAATGAAATAAATTGCATTTGGGATCAATTATTAAAAAAAATATTATGAAATATTTGTTAACTTATTTAAATAACATAATTTCAGTGCAATTGTATTAATATCGCATAATTCTAAACAATTTAAATTAATTTCCTATATTTAAAAGATAGCGTCAATTTTGCCAAAAGTTGCAAAGTTTATACAGTTTTTACTTTTATTGTACAGTACAGTAGAATTCCGAAAGATCTGTATATTCAACACATTTTAAGAATAAACAGAGAGTTTATTTCTCTCTCTCTCTCTCTCTCTCTCTCTCTCTCT